GATGGATGGATGGACGGACGGACGGATGGATGGATGGATGCATGGATGGATGGATGGATGGACGGACGGATGGATGGATGGATGGACGGACGGACGGATGGATGGATGGATGGATGCATGGATGGATGGATGGATGCATGGATGGATGGATGGATGGATGCATGGATGGATGGATGGATGCATGGATGCATGGATGGATGGATGGATGGATGGAGAAATAAAAACCTCGGGTGCACGGCCTTGGGGCATGGTCCCGCCATTCCCCACAACTCTTGGGATGACTCCGGTTGGAGTTCCACATGGCCGGCTGGCTTGGGCAATGCACTCGAGTCACAGGCCGCCACCCGCTCCAACCAAGCACGGAAAAAGAGAAAGCTGCAGAAAGTGAGAAGTAAAGGACTAGAAGTCATGTGAGAAGTTGACCTTCGTACAGCCAGACGACAATTGTGCGCATGTTGCTTTGATCAATTGGCCAGTGTTACTCTTGCCCGCCGCATTGGTGCTGCCAGGGCTCTCGCACCTCACCTGGTATGTAGCCACATCAGCCCGGGCTGATAGTCTGGTCACTGTACCCAACGCCCTCCCCTTTCGTGCAGAGTACCAATTGCTCATGTACGCTTGGTTGCAAATCAAGCAGCTGCAGCAGAGTCTGCAAGTAAAACGAGAGGTGCAACACTGTCTTGTGACTGGAATGGAATATGATGGAAAATTCATGATAAGAAAACATGCAAATGCAAAGAAAGGATGGAAATTGATGCAAACAGAACACATAAGAAAGAAAGAAAATGACACAAAGGAGATAATCAAAGTTGTGTAAGAGCAGAAACCAGCCGGGGGAGGAAAAGGTGAAAGGATACAATCGCAAAAAATAAAAATAATAATTATTACTATTCTAATCATAATGAAAACAATAATTATTATAAATAAATATATACATTGAAAAAAAAAGTAATAAATGATAATAACAATTATAATAACAAAACGACAAGGAATGACATGTTCCCACCCACCATCCAAATCACTGCCCGGCTGCTATAGAGCTGCATGTTGCCGTCAATGGTCCTGCCCTGGTCCTGTCTTTGCCGCGACTTAAGATCTCTGGGCCCGCACGACTGAGAGAAAGTGGAACAGGCAGCGACTGAACTTGTGAATGCGGCCACGGAATCGGCCGCAAAAGCCAGGCATAGAACCAGGAACGCTTCCCAACCACGACGGCCTTCTGAACAGAACACAATAGATTCAGCTTCTCTCCAATTGATGGCTTGGGGGTTTAGAGGTTGGGGTGGCTCCCCAAGAACTAGGGACTCGTTCAAATCCGCTCGAACTGGAGACACCTCTAGGCTTAGCCCCATGTCGTTGCTTCTGCACCCGCAGCTCAGAAGGAAGTCGCCCTTGTTTCGAGAGTCCCGTTAAGTTCCCACACCACAAAAAGCACTTCTCAAAACCAACGAGCTGGAGGATTGCAATCTCCAGTTGGGCTGAAAAGTTGAAGACTATCATTTTAGGGGTCTCTGTCTTGCATTCAGCTCGGGAGACATGTGAGTCTGTGTCGGGTGGGGCTCTTTTCAAGCTGGTTTCAAGGGAAGCTACCGAACAAAAAGGGAAACAGGATTTGGAGCCCAGATGGTTGGCTTCGGTCTGATTTCTCCCAAAGACAAACTGACAAACTTGCCAAACGTCGACTGGGACTCGTTCCTGGCCGGCGAAAAGAAGGGAAGCAGCCAAGGAAAGAAACCCCGCCCAAAAACAACACACACACACACACACATGAGCAGGTTTCCTCAAAGAAATGCGGCCGATTTCTCTGAATCAGCTGGCAGAATCTGTTTTTGACAGCGCAGACGTATCCTTTGAGGAACCCTGAAAACACAGGATCTCGGAATCGATTGCAGATTGATCAAGCGGGACAAGCCTGTATTTTGTTCATTTTCCAAAAAGGTGCTAGGGCCTCCGCGCGAAGCACCCAGCACCACTGGAGCCGAAATGGTCATGTGTGCTTCCCTTTTGGAGAAGGGGTCTTAGGGTTGCTTCCTCATTCCCTTCGCCCATCATTCTCCTCAGAAACCACACTTGTCCGCCCGTTTTGTCACATTTTTTGAGAGACGAGGGGGGCCATACAAGTGATATTCCCCTGTTCAGTGCGGGAATCACTACATGCTCGCAACATGCGTAGGTTGGTAGCTTCAGCTAACACGAGGGAAAACCATGTGAATATAGGTATAAGCATACATTCATATTTAAGGGGGACATGTAGTTAATCCGCTTCAGATTAGCCTGGACCCCTTAAAGAATGCTCTTTTTGAAAATCGGTTTCACATGCATTCTCAAGGAGGCGTTTTCCGCAGAATATAGATTATCGAGCGCTCACATGTTTGCCCATTGCGGAAACCTGCCGAAAAAACCGCGTAAATTCAACAGCACAAGGAATCAAATACCTGGAGGTGGGAGCCACCCACCCACCCCTTCCCCCCTTCCTGTGAGGAGATGCCCGTCAGCAGGCACCAGGACACCTGGGTCTGTGAGTCACAAGCCCTAGCATGGGAGCTACACAAAACCGGCGGTTCTTGCCGCGCCTGCCAAAACCCAAATCGACCATAGACTGCCATATCTATATCATATATATATATATATTATATGTAGATATATAGATATATATGTATGCATGTAGGTATGTATGTATGCAATTAATATATGTATGTATGTATGTACGTACGTACGTAGGTATGTATGCATGTATGCATGCATGTGTGTGTGTGTGTGTGTATGTATGTATGTATGTATGTATGTATGTATGTATGTATGTATGTATGTATGTATGTATGTATGTATGTATGTATGTATGTATGTATGTATGTATGTATGTATGTATGTATGTATGTATGTATGTATGTATGTATGTATGTATGTATGTATGTATGTATGTATGTATGTATGTATGTATGTATGTATGTATGTATGTATGTATGTATGTATGTATGTATGTATGTATGTATGTATGTATGTATGTATGTATGTATGTATGTATGTATGTATGTATGTATGTATGTATGTATGTATGTATGTATGTATGTATGTATGTATGTATGTATGTATGTATGTGTGTGTCTGTATGTGCATGTATGTATGTATGTATATGTATGTGTATGTGTATGTGTATGTGTATGTGTATGTGTATGTGTATGTGTATGTGTGTATGCATGCATGCATGCATGCATGCATGCATGCATGCATGCATGCATGCATGTATGTATGTATGTATGTATGTATGTATGTATGTATGTATGTACGTACGTATGTATGTATGTATGTATGTATGTATGTATGTATGTACGTATATACATATACGTATATATTGATCATATGCAACCTCAGCCTAGGGTGGCCTCTTTGTTCTTAGCGTGGCACCTTTTAGCACCTCCGAAGGTCATTCCCCTGAAATCGAAGCGCCCTCCAAAGCACCCACCCAGTCCGCAGTACATCCGTCCCTCCAAACTCCGCTGTGTCTGCACTCGATCATGAGCAAATTCAACGTCCACACTACCAACCGAAAAGTGGTGACCCAGCAACGCAAAATGCTCACTTCCGAATCTAGCTCAATCCAGCTACCCCACGTGGACCCTGAACCAGGCCTGACAATGATCTTCGTCAAATCCAATCTCTAAGTACAATGCAGCCCTGGTTCTTGAGGGAAATGGATTCAAGTGCTGTAGTTGAAAACACTGGCAGAACCATTTTTAATGTCTGTTACAAGGAGCAACAAACCATATGTCCTCTGCCAAACAGTCATAAAATCCACTGCAAAAAGACATGCAGAAACAGGCTGGCTGGCCTGGCTGTTGGCTGTGTAGTTGATGATCTGGGTGCCCGATTCCGCCAGCTTCCCAGCGCGCTGGAAGATTTTCTCCGGCTGGGAGTTGGCGGTGGCCAAGTTCCAGTGGAATACGTCCTGCGGTCCAGTGGGCGCGAAGCGAAGGGTTGAGCCAAAATCATCCATTTGGGCAAAGTCGTTTGTTTTGGGGGTCCATGCTATTCCTTTGTGGGGCTACCCTGATTTTGAAGCAAGCCCTCTTGTGTTTTCTTTTTCGTGTTTCGAGCGGATTAAATGGAAGGGGCTGTCAAACCTTGTGCCATAACTGGGGAACCCAAAAGAGGCCCCAAAGCACTCGCTGCGTTGTGTTGCTCTTTTCCGTGTGTCCCACTCTTTGCAGGGTAACAGACAAACCAGAAAGAAAAAAACAACTGATCTTGGGAAGCCATAGCCTGCCTATATCGAAACCCGCTATCTCATATCTCATATCTCATGTCTCTCCGACAATCACAAGATTGATACACCATCAGCTTCCGACAAAATTAAGATTGATACACCATCAGCTTCCGACAAAATTGAATGTCAGCCATCCAACCGAGGTACGAGTCAAAATAGGGTCTTGGACCTTAAAAAGATGCGTGGTTTTGCTTCGGCTTTCCAAAAGGGGTAGCAACTGGAAAAAAATGCACCAGCTCCTGAGAGCAAACCAAGGCCAAAAGCCTTGGTGCCAACCAGCGCCAGAAGACAATCTGCTCGGGGCACTGGTACACTCCCAGCCTCGTCTCTTGAGCGGTTTCATGGGATTCGTGGGATTTAACGAGGTTTGATGAGGAGCATGGAGCATGAAGCATGGAGCATGGAGCATTGAGGATGGCAGGGAGGGAAGGAGGGAGGGAGGGAGGGAGGGAGAGAACGAGGGAGGGAGGGAGAGGGAGTGAGAGAAATAGAGAGAGATTCTGAGAGTTGGCAACGGGCAAAAGTGTGGCAAGTAATCAGGGTCCATTTTGTGTATACCCCTAGTTGGATGGTAAAATCAAGTGCGCAAAGAACCAGCTGTGCAAGGCATAAACTGGCGAAAGAAACTCACCTTACCACCCAAACTGGCTGTTATATCGGGAACCTTGCTGACTCTGCACCATGAAACTTGAACAAAGCGCGGCCCTTTCTACAGAACCCTGCTGTGAACGTGGAATCGTCCCAATTGAAACAGCATTCCCCGATTTTCCCTTGCAAGAACTTCCGATGGAAACTCAAAGAGAAATTACCCTCCTGCGCAACCCATGACCTGAGAGGACCGAGGCGAGCCATAAGCATGCTGGTTTGCACGCGCACGCTGCGAATTGCCTGAAGCTAACTTGACATCAATTAGAGAACTCCCAGAGAAGCTAGCAAAGCCTCAAGACTCCAAATGCCCAACATGCGTTTCCCCAGAAATCGATATAGGTGTTTCCTGTTTTTTTGGGGACTTATCGAGGGCTCTTAGATGGACTTTGGTTTTCCTTCCGGTTCCTTTGAAAACCAAAAGCTTGGGACAAGACGAACCCATCTCGGGACCATCTCGGGACCACGAAGCCGGTGAGAACGCGTGACGTGAGCCGTCCTGGATCACTGGGGTCAAGTTTCAAAGCGTCAGCACACATCTCTGGTGGTTGTCTGGGTGGTCGTCTTTCCAGGCTTTACTGTTTGGGCTGCGTTGACGGGAATCCGCCCAGAAGAACGGGGAGGGGTTCGGTCCCCAACCAATCAAGTATCTTGTCACCCCTCCTCCAAAACCGAAGTCCAACGAATATCACGAGTCAGACTTGTGACCTTCTCCCCCATCAGTGCATAGCGGCTTCTCTTTCGTGTCCAAGTTGAAGATCTGAACGAAGTGCCCAGGCTGGCCCTCCGTGGCTGCCTTCAGCGACACTTGTTTGCGTTGCTTCGGAACCCGTGGTGGGACGAAAGAAAGGCAAACCCGTTTGGGTCTGTCATTTGTGTTAAAGGGATCCGCTTTGGGATGGTGTTAAAGGGAGACCAAAATGAAAATCCATTCTGGGGGACCCTAAAAGAAACGCAAACACATGGTCGGGTCGTCCGAGTTGGAGACAAAGCCGCGGTCCCCTTAGGACTTGGGCAAAAGAGTCAGTCCCATGATGGAAAATTTAGTGGGTGCCTCGAATGTCCGCCCATTCCAATCATAGACTGCTGAATATGTTCACCCCACCTCATGTGGTGGCGACCAAAGCTGCAGGTTAGTGTCTTGAACGCGCACCATAATTATCGTGCACATTGTAGATCACGCGGTGTGATGAGTGATGTCTGGATGAAGACACGCTTGCACGCACGCAGGCATGCACAAAGTAGCGAATGATGAAGCAATCGGCCGGTCAGACGGTCAGCGATCAATCGGGTCAAGCAGTCGGACCACAACCTACTGGGTCCGCTGAAGGCACATCCTCAAAGATTACACTCAATTCTTGGTTTGAAGGGGTGCCCTCTCCAAAATGTTCACTTTAAGGGACCCAAATACGGCGAGATTTCGGCTCCAACACCTTGAGGGCGATGATGTTGTCCTGTGGATTCATGAGCGTCGCCTGGCCCGAAGCCAGCCAGAGCGGCTTCTCAAGTCCCAGAGAACTTACAGTGATTTGCCGCGGTGTTTGGCATTGCAGTTGGTCTACTCGCAATATTCGGGCATCAACCATATGCGCAACTGCTTCTTTGTCGGCGAAAGCGCGACTAAAACCATGACAAGCAAGGCTCAACCGTGGGACGAGCCAAATGTGCAAAGCCACTGGCCAGCTCCGAAGGCTTTGGATGCCTTCGGAGACGGGCCAGTGCCCAAGTTCCAGCCAAAAGCTTCCCCAAGCGTCCAACCTGCCGCACGTGACTCCTTTTGACCATTTTTTCGCCATCGCCACTCAACGAAGAAAAAAAATGTTCTATCCTGAAATCTGAAGTTGATGTACAGTTTCAGCCAGGCCCATGTCACGTCCGCCTCTGCCTTCATGGGGCGCTTGCTCACCGCATTGTTGTTGTGCATGTCCACAACAACCACCTCCGGTGGGAACCCCCAAGAAGAAACACCGATCCGGATCGGTTCCCTTTGGGTTTGCCGGGAAAGAATCCTTTGCGTTCTTGGCAGCACCCCCAACCAAAAGACACACGGCCAGCTTGTATTCATCCCGAGTTCACGTCAATATGTCTGCTAAGTGTTGGATGACCGAGAAAGAACGCATGACGAAAAAATGGAGATCAACCTCCACCTCATAGTCTATGTCGTTTGTCCATTTGTCTTGGTGAGCCGCCACCAGTGGGTTGTGCACCTATAGAAAGTTGGCGCAGTCTTTAAGTAGTCTTTGAGTTGTTGCCCAGGGCGCAAGGGTATACGGTGATCCCATGATACAATCCTGCAATGAGGGGTTTGTGTCCAGACAGCGAGAATACCTTCCCTCTTGGTGTTAGTGCGTTGTCGGTGGCTTTGGCAGGTGGCGAATCCCAAGCTGACTCCTCTGACATTCCCCCGCAAATCATGCGTGCTGCGAAAAAGGAAAGCAGGGACTCAACTCAACGACTTACAGATGCACTTTTTGTTATGGGGTTGGTCACATTGGACATCCTGCAATGAGCATCCAAAAAGGCCTAGGGATGGTCGATGGCAGAAAGTAAGCGGGGAGCCTGTGAGGTCTTTCTCCTCTTTGATGACACATCCTTTGGGCTGCTAAAGTTAGGGACTTTAAACTAAGGAACGCACCAGAGGAGTCCTGCTAGAGGTAAATAAAGTCCAGGAACACCCAGTGAGGTAAAAGTCATTCGTTGGCGCTGAACGGATCCGATCACAAATGCATTGTCGCAAACTTGGCTCCTGTTTTAGCCTTTGCAAACTGGCTTCACAAAAGGTCAGGCGCTGCAAGAGCCACGACCCAGACCTCAGGTCTGTTCATGTTTGCCTGGCCAGGCACTCTATGTGGGAGAGAGAGTTGGTCACAACGGCCACTGTACCACATCCTTCCTCCTTCGGGCGGGACGGGTGGGCCGAAGTGAAGCTGCGCAAAGGCATGTGGCGCAAAGTTTGCCACGTCAAACTTGGCTCCTGTTTTAGCCTTTGCAAACTGGCTTCACAAAAGGTCAGGCGCTGCAAGAGCCACGACCCAGACCTCAGGTCTGTTCATGTTTGCCTGGCCAGGCACTCTATGTGGGAGAGAGAGTTGGTCACAACGGCCACTGTACCACATCCTTCCAAATCTTAGCAGCGTGACAAAGGGTTGCAAACCAAGCCGTCTACAACCGAGAGCAACAGATGCGCTGATGCTTCGGCAAGGGAACACACAGCATCACGCTTGTCCTGCGGTAGCTCAGACAAAAGGAACTGCCCCATGACATCCTGCAAATAATGCTCAAGTGACCTCCTGGACTGCCATCGGCCCCGCCACAACACACGTTCTAAGCTTTCAGTGTGGTGAAACAGCCAGGAAGCACCACTGCCCCGTAAGGATTTTGGGGTAATGCCTTTGCGACGCTCATCAGTGCAAATTCCCAGGTGTGCAAAAACTTTGTTCCATCGGCTCCGAAGGATGCTTGCAGAGCAGTTGAACAGCGGTTCGGTGTTCGGGAGGCAGCCGAAAACAGCATCCAGGAAACGCACACTCAAGGCATCGCTAATCCGGGTGTGCTGCCGCAGCATGTAACGACTCGTCTTTGAATGCAGGATGGCCACATAGCAGATCTGCTCGTCGGACAACACGTCGCGGGGCAGCACAAGTTGCGAGCGACGAAGGCCCAAGAATTCGCTCGGGCGCATCACACCGTGGAACCCGATGAGCAAAGCTGCCGCAAAACGCCTCCATCCCCAAAGAATTGAAATGCTGATTGCAGCTTGGAAAACTGCAGCAGGCATCACCATTGCCCTCTCTATTGGCTCGGCCTCCTCCCACTTAGTGACCAAGGTCCAAGCGGCAGCAAGCTGGCCTTTGAAGTGAGGGTGCAGGTCAACCACGGCATTCAATGTTTCAGTGAAGACATACTTAGGCTCCCCAGAATAGAAAAGATACTTGCCAAAAGCAACCAAAGCAGTGCCCAACAAATAGCTGGAAGCTGCGACATCATCCAAAACTGCTCCCAGTTCTTGACGAATCCAGACTGAAAAGGCATCGAGAAATCGAGAGCGACGCTCATTGGTGATGGGTCTCCGGTTGGCAGTTGGGGCCAAGGAGATGCCTGCTCGGCTCTCTGCAGAGGCGCGCCTCGGCCTAGGCATGGCACTTCATTGATTGCCGCTGGCGGGCAGAGGCGAGCATCAAGAGTCTAGCCCAGCCGCTCCATGGCCATTGCAAACGGTCAGCCTCTCGAACAAGGTCGAACTTGATCGCGTCTCCTTTGAGAAGGCAAACCAGCCAACGAGGCAAACCAATCTGAGGGTCTCGCAGGTCAACGAAACGTGAAACATCATCGGCAGGGTTTTCATGTGTCCCAACATGCAACTGATAAGGGTACAAGTCGCCGCCAATCAAATAGGGCAGCCCCGTAGACAGGTAATAATTCAACTGTGTGGAACTAGATCTGCCTTTTGCGGAGCAGCCAATAACGACCCGAGAGTCCAAGAGCACACAAAACCTTGAAGAAGGGCGAGTCTTAGCCAGGTGGCGCAACAAACTGCGATACGCCAAGCTCTCATCAATGTTTATGTGATTGTTCTTGCGGAAACGATATTGTAGCAGCTTTTTCCAGGGGAGGGCGCGGGCAAGTTCTCCAATCCAGCGAGGCGGGCTTGACAGGGGCCGAGCCAGGTCCTCGTCGGGAACTGCTTCCCGATCTTGAATCGCACGTTGATTCAGCTGAGCAACCAACTGACACAAAGGGAGCGGGTACCCCGAGGAGAACCCAGCAACTGGTTGTCCCAGGGTTGGGACCCTGCCAAACACCGCCTGCGCACTGGGCCGGCACAAACGGCAAAAGAGCCGACGTTGCCGGTGGTCAAAGGTGCCGCGCACCTGGAAATGGGCACCTCCGTGGCCGCAGCTGCACGACCCTTGCAAAACCGCCAGGGAAGGGTTGTTGAAGAGCCAACAACTCATCTTCTGAAAAGGAGTTCCGAAGTTGCAAAAAGGAAACGTCACGGAGCTGTATTTCTGTTGCAACAACTGGCTGAAGGCCCGAAGACGATACATAACTGACCCCCCTGGCTGCTCAGCACTGCAAAGCAGTTGGTAAAAATCACAGAGCTGAAGAATGCATGCTGCTCGAAGGGCGAATGCGTTACCCTCCGCCGTCGCCGCGTCATCAGGGTTGAAACCAAAAGGGCACACTTTGCTTCTTGAGCGGGGGCGTCGCAGTGTACCAAAAGTAGTGCAAACAGGGGCCACATGGAAACAACGAACGACTCGTCTGCAAATCAGACCGATGATGTAAAGCATAGTGCTGGACCGAAGTACATCACCGTGAGCACCATCCTTAATTTCAAACCCGGGGTGGACTTCGAGGCCAAGGGCAGCATGAGCTTTGCTAAGATCACCATGCCCACGAAGAACTTCGCAGAAATCCCACAAGAAACCTTCAGAAAGGGAACCAGGGACGGTCTCAGGCATGGAGTGAATAGGGAGGCCTTGAAGGGCTTCGTGCGTGCCAAGGGTGCTCGTGTCAACCCGTGTGTAGAATCCCTTCTGCTCCGCAAAACGGCAAAGCTCCAGCGTGGCAGACCTGCTGAATTCCGCGGCACACACTCCGGCTCCCTGCAAGGATGCATCGGTGGCAAACACCTGGTCCAAGGGTTGAGCCCTGAGGTTCGAGAACATGAAAGGGGCAAAGGTAACCAATAACAATAGTTCATGAACAGCGCCAGTGCTGAGTGCAAAGACCTCGTGCTCGGGTAGGTTCTCCCCTTCATGAAAAACGTCTCCCAATAAAGCAAGGAGGGGGCGCCGGTAAAGAAGTGCATATATCCAGCATCCAATCAGCGAAGACAGAATCTGTCCTGTGCAAACGCCCAATTGCACCACCTGCAAAGTGAGCCTGGACAAAGCTAGCAGCCGAAGGCGAGGAGCACAAACTGTCCCTAGCTTTCCGTCCAACTGGGCGCCAAGCAGCACACTGTTCTGGCTATCACGGACGGCCTTCTTCTCGGACGCTCGCAGGTGGGCCTTTTCATAGGCCGCACGGGCTTTGTCCAGAAGAGCCAAATCTTTCCGAAGGGAAGGATGGCGAGGTAGGGGTAAGCCACGGGGAACCTTCTGAATGACACAATAATCGTCGATGCAAAGCAATTGGAACGTTGGGCCGCGGGGAAGGGGGAAGTGGTACCTCACTTGTTCCGAGGGGGTCCAACAACCCGCCCTTCTCAGCAAATTTGCATGGATGTGCTGCGCAAGTTCCACAGCAAAACTGGTGCCCATAGCAAGCGTCCGGAAGCATCCGACAACAGGTCGATCGCCTAAAGATTCCCGATAGCAGCGCCAGCCTTTGAAAACGGAAGCAGGGAAAACACCATGCACATGGTTCCTGGAAGCATGCTCGTCAGAGACAATGAAACAGTGATAGAAGTCCTCCAAATCGTCAGCCCCAAAAACAAGGTCTTCGTTGTCCTCGAGGTGGATTCCAACCAGTAAGCTTCCATGGGAAAGGCTGGTGGTGGAATCATTCATGGTGATGCGCCTGCTATTCTCAGGAATGGGGTTCAAAATCTGTCGGTCCTTTTCGGTGTTTTTGTAGACAGCAAATAGGCCGCAACGGTAACTCCTCTGAGATAAAGAAGCATCAAGAAGGTAAAGGGAGTTCACCGAGTCCCACTTCCTGAACAGCTGGAGCAAGCGTTCCCGGTTGCACATCACGCGGGCCAGCTTGGTACGAGGCCACGAGCTTTCGGGCTTCCAGAAAAAGCGAGGGTCAGCGTAGCCAGCTTTTAGCAAGGGGTCAGAAATGAAGGACTCGGGCTTGAAGGCGGGCGCATGCTTGAAATTTAATCTGCTGGGGTCAAGTTGCAAGGCCGAAAGCTCATCAGAAGGCGGGCATGAAACTGGCTTCGCAGCTTCTGCCCCTGCCGCATCTATTGGGCCGGCACGAAAGCGAGGCCGGGAATAGGGGTCCAGCTGCGCACGGAGACATGCTGTAGCGGCAGCCAAACTCTTTAGTGAATCATGCAAGCTGGAGAATTTCCCCAGCGAACGATCGAGGTCGCTGCTGAAGCCGGAGCTCAGGCGATACCAACGCCGCACCATGTCCTCCAAGCGAGACAGCATACTGATCTGTCCCGCAGTCGGAGGCGGCCAAGAATCCAGGGTACATTTCTTAGGCCGGCCAGAAACCATCCAATTGCAAGCTGACACAAACAACCGCAAATGTTTCCGAACAGCAGTCCGAAGTTTCCACCTGGAGCGGCGCCTGCCAGATAGCGTAGCCCGAGGGGCAGAAAGGTTGTCTGGCGGAGGACAAGGCCACAGCTGTGAAGAACAGGGGCTGTTCTCCGTCATAGATAGGCTAAGGGATTGGCCAATGAAGTTCCCTAAAGGAGTCCGGCTTCCCAAAACAGCTTTGAGCAAGCAAGCAAAAACACTACAAGAGGACAAAAACTCTGGAAGCTGTCCTGATCCATCTCCAGGATCAGCATCAGCGCAGCTGCCAGCAGCGTCCGAGGTCAGGCCTCCTGCTCGGCAGGGTCGGTCTGGCCCTTTGACTTCCTCGGGTTCTTTGGGCGCCACTTCGGGTTGGCACGCTCCTCGCGGGGTGGCGCCAAAGACGCCGATGGGCGAGTGGAGAACTTGTTTGACTTTTCCTGCATGGTCTCCACATCCCGCAAGTAGGCCAGCTGAGTGGCTACCCACTTTGGGTCTGCAAGCTGGGCGCACGCGTGCTCTGACCTTGGAGCTCTGTGCAACTCGGTCTGGGACCAAGGCGGGTCTTCGGCGCACGTCAAAAGGTGCGCCAGGCGAAGACCGCCATTGTCGAAGGCTGCTTGCTCCACGAACACGGCCAAGAGCCCGACCAGAGCTCGCAGCTGTGGGATTTCGTCCCTCTCGCTGCACTCCCACATCTTTGCCGCCAGAAAGCCCACGTGAGTCAGGGTTTTGTGGCTGCCAAACGGGACACTTTCCTGGAAGTGGTACCACAAGTCCCGAGCCTCCAAGGAAGCTGCGGAGGGCCGCCGGCGGGCTTGCGCCAGCCTCTCCCGAACACTCTGAAGGACGCGGTCGGGGTGGCGCCGGAAGTTGTCCATCAGCACTTGCCGTGCGGCGAACCCCTTCACTGAAGAAGACTTTGGGTAATCTTCTCCATCTGGCGCCCCTCCTGCCAGTAGCACACTCAAAGGGTCCGAGCTGTGAGCACGCGCCGCGGCCAACTGCTGCAGGATGGCCGTCTGGGAGGTGAGCAACTTGTGCAACAGCTCGTCCTTGTCCAAGGGCGTGCCGTCGACGCCCTCCTCGAGTCCCTCGGTAGTGCCAGGCAGGGCGGCATCGCCAGGGGTCGCTTGAAGCCTGTGGCCCGTGACCGGTCCCTCTCCCAGATCCCCTTGTCGAGGCGGCGCTCTTCCCGCCAGCTGCTGAAGCTTCACCAGCTGCGCGGCATCCAGGCCGCCCTCGGGGCGAGTGAAGAGCTGGGGCGAAGGGTTGGTCGGCCGAACTGGAGCCGGCGCTCTCGAAGAGGAGCTTTCCAGCTCCTTGAGTCGCTCTTCCAAAGCAGGAAGAGCCGACAGCCGGTCCTGCATGCCCATGACGGTTCGCTGAGTGAGGTCGGCCTGAGTGAGGAGCTTGTCCAGAAGACTTTGAACTGGGTCTGCTGACCCTTCCGGAAGTTGGGACTGAACCTCTTCCAGGTTCTCGGCGCCCTCTTCGACCGCAGAGAAGTAGACCTCGAGCCGCTCGCCTCCCGACCTGACAAAGTTCATGGCCGCCTCGGCCAGCGAACTGGGGGTGGGCCACTCTGCAGACCCACGGAAGGCGCCAAAGTCGATGTAGACCTCGTCGGGCGCGTCCGGGAAAGGCTCCTCCGCGAGAAAGCTGAAGCCGCTTGAGTCGAGGTCGAAGATCAGGACGTCGAGGTTCCTGCGTGTAGGCTGCCCTGACCGACCCACTGCCGGAACCACAGCCTCGACAAAGGGGCCAAGGTCTCCCGAGAACCCGTGCTCCTCCGCCTCGTGGAAAGCTTCCAGGATGAGCGGGTTGTTGGGAATGCCGACGAGCGCTCCAGACTCGGCCCGCTTGACCAAAACGGCCCGAGAGCAGAACTGGTTGTACTTGAAGTACAGCTTGGATGGACCAAGGCCGTCTTCCGCTGTTCGCCATGACTCGGGCAGCGCCATGGAGCGCCCGGCGGGTTGGCAGCCACTGCCCAGAAGTAAAAGACCTCGGCCTTGTGACAGTGAACAAAGGGCTCCCGGCGTAGAAGGTCGTAGCCGTTAAAAGGAGCTTGAAGAGCGAGAACGGCCAACGCGAAACTCAGCTGCAAGCAAAGGCCGAAACAGCCAAGGCAAGGTCCCCGGACTACTGGTTGGAGACGTGCAAGTCCAGGAGCTTTCACACCGGAACTTGGCAGCCAAGGTCTAGCCAAGGGTTCCAGACAAACACCGCAAAGGCCCTCTAAAGGCGACAGCGCAGGTTTGGACTCGAAAAATCAGCCCAACTGAGCACTAGTCCTGATACCTCAGCAATCGATCTCTCCGCCCGTTTCCGGGATATCCGCCGAAAGGCTCCTGCAGTGCAACCAGCAGGAACCGTGCCAGCACCCGCCTCAGCCAAGGAGACAGCGCTAGCGCCACGACCGCCGCCCCGCAGAAGAAGCCGCAGCACCAGCACGCCAGTCCCAAGAGAATGGCTTCGCTGGCGCGGCTCGGACACAGGAAAGATTGCAGGGCTAGGGGCAGTAGCGCTGCTCGCTCCCACATGAACCGAAGTGAAGCTGCGCAAAGGCATGTGGCGCAAAGTTTGCCACGTCAAGGTTTCGGGCTCCTCACCTTGGCAGTTGCCAAAGGTCCCTGACACACTGAAACATTCCGGCAATGGACGACCTGATATGCGAACATTGGCAGGGATCTGCTCCCCTTTGCTTATCCGCTAAAGATATTGGCGTGCATTGTCCCTTTTGGCTCGAAGTTGCCAAAAGGACTGAACTCCGAACACTATGGCTCGATTTGCTGGCGTGTTCTCGGGTCGAATCCGGCTGACGGCTTCGCCTGGGCCGTGCCATCTGCAGCGGTGTCCTTGACGCTGATATATTTGTCGGACCTCGATTCATCGGACGTTGTCAGAAGGGGCGGTAACCAAAAAATCGAGCTTTGAGTTTCTCTCAAATGCGGAAACCTGAGAGAAAGAGAGAGAGAGAGGGAAAGAGAGAGCAAAACAAAAAGAACAAGATAGTATGCCATTTTTGAGGGAATACACTTTGTGCCAGTGGTCAGGGAAATCGCGAGAGACCAACCATTAGGGGTTCCTATTTGGAGACACACACACACACACGCACACGCAAACTGACTTGAGGCCAATGCAAAATGACATCAACCCAAATTGAACCAATCCTCGGGAAGCTCAAAATATGACGAATCAGGTACAAGTGTCAGTACGCACTCCAAGATTGCACACGCTTAGAATCAAACTATGCTTGAGAGGAGTTGAGGTGAACGAAAAGTAGTCCTATGTGCATTTTCTGGCAAAAGACATGCTGGCAAGCCTCATTTGCATGCATGCTCACGGCTGCTTCCTTAGATTGGGGACGTGTGCCTGGGGATTACTTCTCATTTTGAGAGACGGGCAAACCTTCCGACCAAACTGCTCGAGCAGAACGCGTCCAGAATCAATAAGCTTTGCAGTGGTTCTTCCGCATGCACACAAACACACACACACACACACACACACACACACACACACACACACACACACACACACACACACACACACACACACACACACACATCTCCAAGAGTGTTTCATCGCGGAGCCCCCGGCAGAGCTGTCATGGAACACATGCATTGGAATTCAAAAGGGCCGAACCAGCCTCTTCAGGTCAGCAATATGGCTATCTCAACTAGCCACATGCACCATCTCCAAGGTGTGTTGGGAAAAGCTCAGAAGTCAGCTGAAACACAACCTGAAGGCAAGGTTTGGACAGTGTGAGCCCAGTCCGCTCCACCAGTCGATTGGTTGAAGGCCCAATAGCAGAGGCTAAGATCCGTTCAAAGGGCCCATGCACCTGTCAAGTACCACTGAACATGGGGAGGGGTGCGTCGGCAAGTTTCCAGCCACCCAACCACCCTGAGCTGCAGGCTCCATGGTCAAACTGTTGAACTTGAAAGCCTGGCCACCGCTCAGATCCCCGAAAAATCGGTCAAAACCTGCTGGATCGATCAGCCACTTGGAGGCTCGATGTTTGAGAACAAGAAACGAAAGCTTGTGAAAACCGAGCACATGGCGGCTTTGTCTGGCAATGTGAGGAATATATGTTTGTATATATATATATATGTATATATTATTATTATTTATATATATATACATCCCCAACATGACTAGTTTGCATGTGGATGTTCCAGCCAGGGATACTTTTGAAAGAAACACCCACAGAGCTGACTGGGATTCGGCCAGTGCTAGAATCTGGTGCACAGGATCTCTGGAAGGATCCGGTGCATTCAACAAAGCCTTCGTGAGTCCTGGAAGACGCCGCCCACTCGCCACTAAACATCACCCCAAAAGGAAACTCACCTACAAGTGGTCCAACAAAGGATGTGTAAACTGCTTAAAAAGAGAAGAATCACTCGGATCCACATCTAAATGTTGAATCTGTGGGCATGGCCCCAAAAGCGTCCACCACAAATGCAAGCATGGGAGAAGCAGAAAGGCTGGGGCAGGCTGGATACCGCTTCAAACGCGCGGTAGCTGAGGAAGAACAAAAAATCTAGAGAGATTGGGGATTTGTGGCGTCAGAATCAATAATCGATTCTGAGAGCAAATCAAGTCACTGGTGCCTTCCTGTCACGACTGCAGGGAAACTTCGCCATTGCGAGCACCACAGCCTCCCCTCACGGCCCCGCTCCCCGCGAACTGCAGCCCACCTGGGCATTGATGCCCTGGCTTGCCAAATCGATGGCCGTATTCCTGGGCGCTTTGCGGCGGGGCATACCGGAGCTTGGATCCAGTGCTTGCAACATGGCGCAACGGTGCTAATCTGGAGGATGTTCACCCCAATTCAAAATGGTGAGATCTTACATGACTGCTTGGACTATGATACCACACTAAGCTGCACTCCCTTTGTACCTAAGGCCCCCACAATGCGAGCGGCAGCTCAGCCATGACCTGAGCTCAACTCGTGCCTTCAACTTCGTTCGCGCGTTCGTTCCTCAAGAGAGGGGGCATAATTGGGCCTGAAAATTCCTTCAAATACCCAAATAAGTATTGTGCAAAGGTATCTTTCCGCAATGCCCCAATCAAAGGTCTGACCAGTGCGACAGCCTGGTTTTGATGCCCATTTGTTTTGATGCATAAACCTCCAAAGGGCCCGAGTGTGCACAGACAAAAATCCCCTGAGCCACGGTCAAAAGAAGAGCGGCTGCGGGAGAAAGTCGGGGCAATAATTCCAATGAGCATCCACAGCATCAAAAGTCACACTTTGGGAATCCGTTCCGGTGATCCACTCTTCAAAGGGACACCCACCCTATGAATCAGTCAGGTTGATTAATCCGGGTACAGAAAACATATGTGCCGCAGTGAAACCCGGTTCTTGAACATGCAGCTGATATGTGGGGCCCAAATCCTAAGGTCCCCCGCAGGCAAAAGGCCTTTGGCCAGAAGGAGCACGGCAGTCTCGATTGGTCCAAACCTATGAGCCAAAACACGCCGTTCAAGCTGTCCTCTGAATCCCTGCAAAAGCAAAGGTTTAGTTGTTTTCCACCCCCCCAACCCTTCAAATTGGTCTTCCCAGAAAGAGAGTCTAAAAAACCTTAAGTTTGGATTTGGAGGAGTAAGAAACCGTACAAAGAGATGTTTCGTGCAAATTGGTTTCATTGCTGATTTCTTCTCGTTACGGAATGAGGGAATGATCTGGACAAACCATCCAGCGCATTATTTCCTTCGTGGGGAATTCCGGAACCCTTGAAACACCATGCTCAAACAAAGGGGTTGCCATGTCAAACCAAACACCTATGTCTGGTTTGAAGCTGCCACGGGTCGTTCCAACACAAACCCACAAAAAACAGCTAAAACAAAAAACCAACACGCACGAGCTTCAATTCTCCAAGCACCCGTTCTTATAGGCGTTTGTATCACAGCCTTCGGTTACACCTATGCCATGTTGTTCCACAAAGGAATCCCAAATGAAACCTGGTTGTATTAGACCATGCTGTGTCATCAGTCCCGCATAGTAAAAGTTGTCAGCTGAAACATGCCTTCTCCAAGCATTAAATAGCTAGAAACTGGTGATGTGGTAATCGCATGCTGTTTCTCAAAATGTTACAACAATGCATATTAGATTTGTGTGATGGTTGAAACGACTGATGACGTCACACCGCACTTGGCTGGTGACATGTGAAGCAAAGTTGTCTTACGGTGTCACCTCTTTCCTGCGCGGACACGATTCTGCAAAAAATGAAAATGTTTGTCAGGGAATGTTGAATGGTTTCACAAATCGTGGTTGCACAAACAAGGATCCTGCAAAAAGAAACTGAAGACTGTTTCAACACAAACAGCGACCAACATGTCCCAAACATTGCTCACCATCAGGATCGTCCAAATACTTGCCTTCAATTTCCATACTGAAATGTGAAGTTGTTGCCACTTTTGGTTGTGCAGCCGCACCATTGAACAAGTTGGTGCTTCAATGTACAAGCACTCAACCCAAAACATCTGGCTCATGTGCAAATGTGCAAACCGTGGGGTGCATTCATTCATGGCAAAACTGCCGCTCAAAACTTCGTTCGTGCGCTGGAGCGACCTTGTGAGCAGCCCAGGAAAAGGTTTCATCTCGTACAGGGTGGCGCGAAGTGTCTCTAACATGGTCTTGCGCCAGGCGTCTCAACACTGTACAGTGGCAAATGAGACACAATTTCTAGTCGTGTGTCTAGTTTTTGGACGTGGCGCGCAAGCGCGCGTGACAGGGCGCGCTGACATGTGCAGTTCGCCAGCTCCACTCTGATCAACGCGAGGTGTGAGAACATCTCCTGCTGCACTTCCGTCGCAGCCGTCCAGTCCCCCATCATTTGTCAAACGGGTGGCTTCCTAAAGAAAAGAATGACAACTATAGTAGTAAGGAACATCAGCTTATAGTCCCCTAATTATTTGGGTTTTTTGGTCCAAAAACCCTGCAAAACTGCATAATTTTCAACCAGCTGAACTCGTCACCAGCGATGTCACCGCTTCGTCACCGCTCCGTTTTTGGTGCAAAAAGCGCTCAAAACGGTCAACTCCGAAAAGTTCGTTTTTTCGTGTCAGACGTCAATTGTGGTGCCTGAGCCTCCAAATTCGCTCGTTTTCGGTCGAAATCGGGCTCCAGACGTTCGCCGTGCTCTGGATTCCGTTTTCTGCCCGGAAAAGCAGGCAAATTCCAGCCCGCTGAGCTTGTCACCGTTCGCCTCCGCTTTGTCACCGCTCGCTTTTGGGTCGAAAAAGTGCGCAAAAGCGGCCCAGTTCCCGAGCTCCGGAGTCGCAGGGTTTTCCGCGGCCCGACAGCCTGCCGAGGACCTGGCTCGGAGCGCGGCAGCCCGCCGAGGTTTCGGCTTGTGACACGTCTTGTCACCGCCTTTGTCACCGCTCCGTCTGGCTCCGTTTTTGGTGCAAAAAGCGCTCAAAACGGCCAACTCCGAAAAGTTCGTTTTTCGTGTCAGACGGCAAGTGGGATGCCTGAGCCTCAAGTTTCGCTCGTTTTCGGTCGAAAGCAGGCTCCAGACGCTCACTTTGCTCAGGATTCCGCTTTCAGCCCGGAAAACAGGCGAATTCCATCCCGCCGAGCTTGTCACCGCTTGTCACCGCTTCGTCACCGCTCTCTTTTGGGCCGAAAAGTGCGCAAAAGCGGCCAAGTTCCCGAGAGGACTTCTTCGTTCTTGGCAATTTTGAGTCAATAATGGAACGGGCCGATTCATCAATGCGCAAGGTTGGTTCATTAATGCCCGGCCGCTGGTGGGTGCTGCAGCTGAGACAAGGTAGCGCTTGAGCCTCCGAGGTGTCTCATGACCCGTGTCGCCCCATGACACAAGCTTTGTCCTGTAAGACTACGCACACAACGCATAGCTTCGCCGGTCAATTCA